CAAACTTTTGGATTTTGCCCATCTGTGAGGTAAGACATGGCATTTAAATGCAGGCTGAGTTTTCATGCATTTCTTTATGAATGAAGTTGAGTGTCCTTTCACATGTTGAAGTACCTTTGTCCCACTGTGAACTGTTCTGACTAGCTATTCTGTTCAACTGTGTAGCTGTGTTAGTGCTGACCCCTCACCCTCCCTATGAGCTGAAAACTGCTTCTGTGAGCACCTCTGATACCTTGACTGCAGGCTTTCTCTTTGGCCATGGTGGCATGTACAGTGAGCATATGGGAAAACTTCAGAAGAGCCAGAAAGTTAGTGCCTAGAAGCTTCTCTCATCTGATAATAAACAGGAATTTGGTGTAGAACTGCCCCCTCCCCCCCCACACTGATTTTCCTTTCCTCTGGATGAGGATAACAGATACAACACTGTTTCCCAGTGGAGTTGGACCTGTGGTGGTAACTGACTTGAGGACCCACACTTTATTCCTTCCCTGCTCTGTCTGCGTCCCTACTCTAAGCCCCATACTTAATGATTCCATTTCCAGAATAAACTACACATTTGCATTAGAATCCGTGCCTCAGAGTTGGCTTCTGGGGGAACCCAGGTCAAGCCAGGTTGTGAGACCTATCTCTGAGTGCTTCTCAAAGTGTGGCCTGCAGATGGTTTGTGGTCTATTTGTCACCTGTCTGATAAAGTCAGAAATTGAGCTTGAAAGTTTAGAAACTTCTATAGAAATTCGATGTTGCTGTGATATTTAAGTGTGGTGATTTTGCATTTTACACACACAGACACACACACACAGATGTCTGTGATGAATTGAAAAAAAATAAAAACACCATAGGACTTCCCTGGTGGTCCAGTGGTTAGGAATCTGCCTGCCAATTGCAGGCAGGGGACATGAGTTCAATGCCTTGTTGGGGAAGATTCCACATGCCTTGCAGCAAGTAAGCCCCTGTGTCACAACTACTGAAACCTATGTGGCTTAGAGCTCATGCTTCACAACAAGGGAAGCCACCCATCACAGTGAGATGCCCGCACACTGCAATGAGGCATAGCCCTTGCTCACCGCAACCAGAGAAAGCCTGCAGACAGCAGTGAAGACCCAGCACAGCCAAAAATAAATATATAAGTTAATAAATGAATAAATGCAGTAAAACACTGCATAGGTGAAAAAGGCACAACTTTAAATGACAGCCCTGAGACCAGTGGATGGAAGGGCAGTTAGGACAATTTTAGTTTGGTATAAGAGAGTTTTCTAATTGCCCTGTATACCTAAGAATGGAAAGATTTCCTATTGGTGGCAGTCAGTAAGCTTATCTTGAGACGAATTAAGCCTGCTTGGCTGGCTGGACAGTTGAGACTATAAAGAATCCTTGAGTTTGAGGGCAGACCTTTCGTCTTAACAGATTTTGCTTCTCTGCCTTAATGAAACTTGAACAGTAATTCTCTTACTCTTTCATCTCTTTCTGTGAAAGAAAAGATTAGTAAAAGTGAAACCAATATATGAGTTGTATCCCTTAATACATAGCTAATGCATGCTGATTCTCTAAAAATCCTAAGGGAGAGTTTAATTATAGTTAGTCCTGTTCTGATTGTTTTGATGCATTGTGAGTTCCATTCTAACAGCCCTTCATATTTACAAAACCGAGAAACTGGCAACTTTAGGTAGTGGGACTGAATCTTGTTTTCTTTAGCACTAAGATTTCTCAACTAGTCTTAAAATACGAAGTGAGAAGTGTTATGAAATTTCTTGGGCGTGTCACTGGATCTCAAGAACATAAGTCCTTTCAGTACACAAAGCACTAAGGTGAAACCAAACAGAAAACATTTGCCTTTCAGCTTCTGTAGAGCTGTATTTTCATTGGCTGCTCCTCTGAGTCCTCAGGTCAGGGGTTTTTGCCTACCTATACCTGAACTACCTAGTACCTACCACCAGCAGTCTTTCTGCTGTTTAAAAAAGCCTGTGGCCAGACTGTGGTGGGCATATTGAAGTGGTGCTTACAACAGAGCTGTGTTCAATGCTGAAACCAAGGGATCACAGGTCCCTGCAACCTTAAATGGCCTCCTAATTTCAACAATAGGCAAATATGGAGTGCTAAGGATGGGGCAGTCAGGAATTTTTAAGGCTCCCATTAAAAAACATTAAAAAAAAAAAGTTGCCAGTGGTTCAGTCTTCTCAGCCTAATATATGGATCCTCAGGCATATTTTGGAGGAGCACACGAGGATCCTCCATTGTACTATTGTGTTGAAAGGTGGTGGCCCTGGACTCAGATGGCCTTGATTCAGATCCCATGTTTGCCTCTTTCTAGGCAAGGCACTCAGTGTTTATGAGGCTCAGTTTCTTCTGGAAAATGATAATAATAAGAGTATTTTAGACGGTTAATGAGGGTGAAATAAGGTACTGCATGTCATGTGCTTGGTGTTTGGTCATAATATCATACAGTCAACATCATTAAAAGCCTTCCAAGATTCCTTCCTAGCAGGAAACAGGTAGAACCTCTGTGAACTGGAGGAGTCAGCTGTATTTGGATAGTCAAACTGGTTTGATGGTTTGGGGAGGGAGTGACATTGGAAGGGACGATAGGAGGAAACTGGCTGGGCTAAGGCAGGGTGCAGGACTCTGCTGGTCTGTGCTCCCCTTTTCTCCAACTTTCATTGCTTTCCCCTTCACCCCGATCGATTTCTTGTTTCTTCTTGTCTTGAGAGCTCAGGGCTTTGCTGTAAACTTCAGAAAGGTAATGCAGAGAAGGGTGCCTTACTCCCCTTCTCCTGAATGCTACTGAACGAAGCTTTGGAAGACTGGAGGGTTTTTCTACATTGTGATCTTAACTCACTGTAGCAAAGTAGAGGAGGAGCAATCATATAAGGAAATTTTTTGGTGTGTGTGTATTAAACAGGTAGTGGTGTGAACAGTCGTGATGGAGAATGGAAATTGCAAGTTCTGTGTGCAGCAACTTGACTGCCATTCCACCTTGATTTGGGGAGGAGGTCCAGAACCTTTTGAGCTGCTAGTGATCAAATTCATTATATTTGCATTCATTGTTATCATGACTCTTCTGTGATCCTTGAACTGTAAACACATGGAGAGCTCTTGAATGCAACTTCTAGTTAAAGTAGCTTTCTAATAGGGACTTTGTTCTGTACTTCTAGCTTACTCAAGTTTGCTGACCCTTTCTTTATTTATCTGTTTTTGTTTTGCTTTTGAAAGAAAGGTAACACCCATCAGGGCTGCAGTTGTTCAGTTGTCCAAGGCATTTCATGTCTGGTCCCACAACTTAAAATTCAACTTGAAATCAGTCTACCCATTAAGGCAGTTGCCCTGTCTGGGTGGCGTCCACCTGGGAGAAGGAAGAAGGCTTTTTTTTTTTCTTCCACAAAAGTCCAGTGTGGGATAGTTTGACCCCTACCTGTTTGACCTGCTAATGCTTTTTCCCTCTCTGAGGGTAAAAACTGAAACATGCAGGATGTTGGAATACGGCATGTGCCAAGCGTAGGCAGGTATCACATGAAGCTGCAAATCCACTAATGTGCTTCCCAACCCCTGTACTTCCTGTCCTTTTCCTTATCCCAGAAAGGAACTATTTTTAGTTCCAGATGCTGGAACTACTGTGGTCCAAAACCTTCAAGTCACTTTCTTTGGAATGCAGATGAGTCAACACCAGAATGATTAAACAGTTAGACTTTTAAAACAATGTTTAATGAGTACACATTTCCAAAAGCAGTCATCCCTTAATATGGGGGATATATACAAAAATAAGAGGGTCTATCATATAATAAAAATGTTCCTAGAATACAGGAAACGTATGAAGAGTGAGGAAGTTTAGTCTGACTTTTTAAATGTGGAAGAGTAGTTTGGAACAGTTAAAAGGAATAGCGTTTACACAACACACCTATTTCTGTTTCAAATTCTTTTCCACCTCAGTTGTTAGGATGGGCACATTGGTTTGATGGCTTGGGAATGGATGTTGGGAGAGGGTGAAATGAGGGAATTGACTTCTCTGGTCAGCTGGTGGGGCTTGGAGCCTTGTGGATGAGGCTGAGGGTCATGCCCAGCAATGCATTGTGATGCCAAAACCACCAGGGGTGCTCTGGAATGTCTGGCTTCCTGGATGCCTTTTGTGAAGTACCCAAGAAGAATATGTTTACTAGGTTATAAAAGCAGAATCCTTTTTACTATAGGTAAGCCTTTTTTTTTTTTTTTTTAAAGCTGGAGTGGGTTGCCATGTTAAATCCCAGGGGATCTTCCTGACCCAGGGACTGAACCCACATCTTTTATGTCTCCTGCACTGCAAGCGGATTCTTTACCCATTGAGCTACCTGGGAAGCCCCTTGTTTAACCTAAGAGTGGCATTTTCTAGTCTTAGTAATGAACCAGATAGCCAGTAAAAATATTACTCTTTTACCAAAAAAGGAACATGGTTAACCCCAAAGGTTTCCTTTAGATTAGCCTGGATAGTACTTAACCTTTAGATAACCAATTCTCTATCCAAAAGGCAGTGGCCAACCCTAGAACACTTGGGTATTTTGCATAAAGTAGAATGAATGAATAGTGACAGTTGCCCTGTCTTTCTCACTGATGCCCTGGGGTCTTCACCACACAGCACAGCTCTGTTCAAAGTCTCAAGCTTTTCTGAATCCTTGAGTAGATCAAGGATAAATTAATGGAACAAGTATTCTGGGTGTCTTCTCATTAACACAAGCTGAAATTAAACAAACAAACAAAATCTGTAAGGGTATAATGGGAAAGATTGAAGGCGGGAGGAGAAGGGGACAACAGAGGATAAGATGGTTGGATGGCATCACCATCTCATTGGGGATGAGTTTGAGTAAGCTCTGGGAGTTGGTGATGGACAGGGAAGCCTGGCATGCTGCAGTCCATGGGGTCGCAAAGAGTCAGACATGACTGAGCAACTGAACTGAACTGAACTGAAGGATATAATGCAACCAACATCTTCATATGGTGCCAATGGTATTAACTTCAGAAATAATTTGGCAATTACATTCAATGTTTTTTAATTTTTAATCACAATTCTTCACAAGTATTCTGAAGAAGTAACTTAAAATATGCACTAAAGTTATAAGTGCTAAGGTAGCCTCTGAAATGTTGTTTTAGTAAAAAATGGATATAACTTAAATGTTGAATTAGAGCAGTGGTAAAATAAATGCATATTTGATATAATATCATGAAGCCACTGATTCAATACATATAGCATGTAAGTAAGCAAACAAAGCCACAGTATATTAAGTGAAAAAGGAAGGATACACAATTGAATATACAGTATAGGTAGAACTATTTTCAAAAAGTTTTATAGAAAAATATTCTGGATTATGGGTGATGTTTTAATATATTGTAATCATTTTGTATAATGTCATATAGAATATATGATAGTGAAAATAAAAAGTAAAAGAAATGGCCTGTGTGAGGCAGGCAGAAAATTGTCAAATCCAAAGCCTTTTGGTTATTTCGGCTTGTGGAAAGGTCATACATAAGGCTCCTGTCAGCTCCATATATGAGCCAGGAAGGCTAATCCTGCTGAAGGTCATCTTGGAAATGGCATCATTATCACAGAAAAGCATAGAGAAGCATCCTGCCTTCCAGCTAGGACTTGAGAAAGAACCAAGTCTCCTATTACAAACTGCTGCTCTCACACCCTCCTGCCTAAGACTTCAAAATTCTCTCTCATCTGTGTTTTGGTCCAATTTACACTTTTGTTATTCATTTAATTTCACTGCTTAAATTTATAACAAACTATGACAAATTATAGAAGCTACTTTTTTACACTAGCAATTCATTTCATAGATGATTAATATTGAACAAATTTGGAATATGTTATTTACAAAGCATAGCACAAAACCTAAATAATAGTAAACCTGATGTAGTACAAACTTTATAAAACTTATTTAATTTTTTTTTTAACTTTTTGCACAAGGGCTTTTATCAACTCTTCTTCACTTATGGTACATTGAGAAAATCCAAGTGGATATCCCTCATTTTTAACTCAATCTTTTTATACTTATTCCTTTGTGGAGGAATGATTTTGTGACAACTGTATAAGTTTGCATATATCCAGTCTATGATTATTTCTAATCTATTGTGAAATTTTTATTGTTTTATAAAATAATTCCCCATACTACCTATCCAGGTTGGTAAAAAAAATATCAAAAAGCACACGTAACTACAGAATTTACCATGGCAATATTTATAATCACCTGCACTTCCAAAAGCCAGAATAAAAATTTCATTCCTTTTGCATCCTTGGCCCTCTTTTTCAGACCAATCTAATAAATCCCTTGTCAGCGGCCACCATCTTAGTATTTTCTCTTTCACTCTACTTAGCCCTTGAACCAGAGAAGGAAACTGCATGTACTTCCCCTGGATTTTGCAAGACATTAGGTCATGTATGTTGCCCACAGCAAAGAAGCTTCTTATTGTGAAACCACAAAGCTAATGGTGATTCAGCCCCTCACCTCCAGCAAAAGGAGAGGCAGAGACCAGCAGTGACTCAACATGGACCTGAGATTAAAATGGTGTCCCATTTCTCAAAGTCAGGCATGATTTCTTCCTCTGTTCACAAACTTCAGCCCATGGTGGGAGAAAAATACTTTCTTCACTGCACTAATTCTTCTTCTCTTAACATGCAACACCATAGTTAAGAAGTCCAGGTGAATTGAACTTTGCTTTAAATATCTGTTTTTCCATTCAGTACCGATTCTGAGTATTTCGGGTTCCTTTCCCAACCCTGGCGGATCCGCATAAGGGTCTTGTCTATACATGGCAGGATGAGGATGAACTTGATCACCAGCACTGTGCAAGGGATGATCAGCGCAATCACATAGGCTGAAGGGAGATACCACACAAGGTTCGAAGGGTTGAGGAATCTCTTCCCACCGTACACCAAGGTGTGGGCTGTGCACAAGATCAGGGTCAAATAACCCAGTTTGGACTATAAATAAGAGAAAAAAACATGTATATTAACACTGTTTACATTTTCACGTGAAATACTGTGAGTCAGTGAAGGGTATTCGTCAAAGCCACAAACCTTTGAAAACTGTAGTATTTAGAACACTGCCAAGAACAGAAAAAACATTAACTCTCCTTCAAGATGATCATTTTATCATTAAAAAAAAAAGACTGCTTACAAATGACCTGGTGGTTTCATCTTAACCTAACTGGATGAGAAAGGTTCCCAGGAATAGATTATTTTGCATTAGAATAAGTAATGTACCTTCTTTTTCAAGGGTAACACTCTTTTCTGGATCATCTTTTCTGGAGGCCAGAGATGAACAGAACACAGTATGTCTTCAAGAAATACCACATTACTGTATGTTGCTGACAGATACTAGCTGAATTGCATCGCAATAAACAGCAGTTAGCAAATTTTACTTTTTGTTGGTTGTTTGTTTAGGCCTACATACAAAGCCCAATGTTTATTTCTGTCTTAGTGTCTTGAATGAAGGTATAAACATGAGAAAATGTTGACTGCATTTGGTCCCTGGGAGAAACTGTAAGACTTTTGAATTCAAACAGTTCTATAAGGTACAATTCTGACTTCTGTTACTACCTATTCTGTTATACTAGTTCTCAAGGAATATGCCTCAGAATCACCCAGAGGGCTTGTGAAAACAAACCAACTGCTGGGCCTTACTGATCTTGGATGATCTCAGATGATCTCAGCCTACAGCAACTTGAAGCTAGGCTTCAGTTCCCAGCCAGAGACTGAGGACAGGTTGAGGCAGTGAGAGCACCAAATCCTAGCCACTAGACCAGTGGTCAGTCACAAGACCCTGACTCTTTGGTTTTGCGGAAAAGAATTCCCACAAAGACAGAAAGTATTGAAGCAAGCAAAGTGTTTATTGGGAGGAAAAGAGTATACTATGTGTGGGTAGACACATGGGCAGGCTCAGAGACAGAGAGTTGCTGAGTCACCCTTTCATGGCAGTTTGAATTGCTTTTATGGGTCATTTCTTCTGGGTTTCCTTTGGCCAATCATTTTGATTTGTTTGGTCCTGAAGCCATATTTGGTATATCTCAAGATCCTTTCATGTGTGGAAGCTCATCTCTTGGCCAAGATGGAGTCTAGTGAATAGTGAAGAGGCTCATGGGTAGTTGACAGAACTTACTGTGAGGTGTCACCCCCTCCCTTTTTTACCTCCAAGGAGCCTTTCTGTGCATGTGTCGTCGGGGAGGTCTCCTTAACTTCAAGAAAGAGGAATGTGTGTATTTTTTTTTTTTTAATTTGGCATCTGGGCAGGGCACAGCCTCCTCCATCATCCTGCTTTTATGGAGTTTCTCCTATTATGGGGTTTTCATTCATAGGGGGGAAATTGTTCAATCTGGGGCCCATCTAACTCCTGCCTCAATACCTCCAGAGTTTCTGATTCAGTTTGGTAGGGGTGGGGCATGAGGATTTGTATATCTAACATGATCCCAGGCAATACTGCTGCTGCTGGTGGTCCAGGTGCCACACTTTGCAGACCCCTGGTCTACAAGATTGGTTACTAACTGCCTTTAATGGTGTATCTGGTGGTTGATGTGTCTAAACACTGATTTTTCATCTTAAAGACCAGCACTGAATCTGGTATGATGACAGCTAGCACAGAAAGTTTTATACCCATCAGTCCATATTCTAAAGTTGATTTTCAGAAGTAGAAATTTTGTGTTTGGGTTTCTTTCCACCTTGAACCTAGTATATCTCCATACACAGGGTTCAATAGTAGTTGATGCTTTTCATTCTATACTCTTAGCTGTATCTCTGGGAGTGGTCAGGAATCTTGTCCTGCTAGGAAATCAAACCATTATGGAATCTGCCTTTGGATTCCAGAGTTTAGCTTTTCTAATCTGAATTTGTTTCAGTTGCTATTTATGTGATTGCTAGGGAACTGATGGAGCAAAATGAAAACTTATGCGGGTATGAGAGAAAAGTCAGAATATTTTAAACTCAGAATCATTTTGCACTAAAAAGTAGATTAAATCATGAAGTCCTTTTACCTGGACAAATCGGAACTCTCTCCAGTTGACCGTGTTGCTAACTGATGGCAAGGAAGTGATTCCCAAGAGTACAAACAGGAAAAATCCAAGCATTCCCAAAGCAACATATGAATCCCTGAGCCAGGAGGTAGTGGTACTAAATGGATCTTCTTTCTTGGTTATTGCCTAAAATAGTTAGAAACAATTTTTTAAAATTTCATTTTTTACAAATTGCCCAAACTTTCAAGGTGATGAAAAAATACCTCTGCATCGTTTCTTTGTTCAATGTTGTATAACATTTCTAAAGAGTCACTGAAAATAATTACACTTAGAAAAATATACCTAGATATTATGTTTTTTGATAGAAAAAGTAATTGGTTGTATTAGGACATTACTATGATGGTTGACTTCAGAAATTGTATAGAGAATTTTAATTGACCCTGTAAATCCTAAAACAAAATAAACATTTACTTAAACCTTCTTTACCATATGGCTTCTTGTTCCCCAAGCAAAAACTGATGTTCTCAAATGATTACATCAGGGTTCTGTTTTCCTGCTTTATATGCTGATTATTCACACACATGAAGTTTGAGTTCTTTGCTGTGTTTTTTTTTTTTTTTTTTGTAACGTAGCTTCAGGTCTGTTGTAACACATCTTGAGAGAAATCTGGCCCCTGTAACATGACTATTACCCAAGGACATGCTATGTATTTTTTATGGAAATAATGTAGAGAAATCCCACAGACACACCATCAATGAGTTATTGACTAATAAACTTTGAGACTGCAGTAGGATTGATCAAAAACAATTAATTCCAAACCAGAACTGATGTATAGGACTTTCTCTGGGGCTGCTTTAAGACTCCCTGAGCTGATTTTCTCTGAATATTTTGACTGTGCAGAATATAGTTTTTGACATTTGCTCAGAATTGTTTAGTTTTCTAGTCATTGAGGATGGCATCCCACAAGACAAACATTAACGGAGTTATAAACACCCTTTTGTAAATTTGTTTACATTCCTCTGATTAATGTTTGGACATGAAGCCCCTTCACTTATAAGATGGTTGGTTTTGACTTCCAAAAGAAAGTAGCATAGATAAAAATAGAAACTTTAAATTTTGGCTTGCATTTATTGAAGTAACTCAAGTATGTTCTTTAGGTTTTCCTGAGCTCTCACATCTGTGTACCAGTGAATCCTGAGAATACAGATATGGATCCAAGTGAACCTGGGAATCTGACTTTGACTCTTCAATAGTTATATGAGATTTCAACAGAATTTGTTAAAAAACCAAAGTAAAACAATAAACTCCCCAAGACAAACATGACTGTCTAATTGTAGCTGCTTTAAAAAATAAAGATGTTTAGAAGAGTGATTTTCTATAATTATGAAATGGAATATGATGTAGCAAGATTGCACTTTGATTTAAAAATAGGAGAATACAAGTGAGTAGAGATTTACCTGGGTAACGGTTCTGTTGTTCCATGTCCATCGTACATAATAACGAATAGGGATCACAAGTGTGTAGAGGACATGAAGGAAGGCAAATCCCAGCGCTATCAAGCCAAGCTGTTTTCTGCAAAGCATCCAGTGGTCAAGCCAGTCTGGGAATCGGCGGTATTTTGTACCTCGGTACAGCTGAAGAATGGCAGCAATAACACCAGGAAGGTAAACCAAGGCGAGCAGTGTGAGTGCTGCTATTGGAAAGACACGATTTGGAATAGAAATAGGCAGACGGAATGTCCTGTCTCTTTTTTCATGAACATAAGGGTAGATTACTTCTCTTATTACACAGTAGAAAAAGAAGAAGACACACAGAACAGCTGACAAATAGAAGGGGAACTTCCACATTGGAAATAGTTGTAGTGGGTAGTTTTCAATTTCATTGGCTGCCACGAGAGATCCTTTATCCAATGGAGTAAGTCCAAGACTACGAACGACATCCATCACTCTTTGCTTGGCTTTGCTGTCATTTCCACAGATAAACACCTGGGTTAAAATAATTAATTTTTTATTTATTTTTTCTTTATTAATGGAGGATGGTGTTATATAGTAGTTAACTTCTTATGAAATAAGGCTGTAGAGTGAACATATTTAACGAGATAATGGTTTAGACTTGCACATGTACGTTGGATAGTTAAGTAGCAGGATTTTAAGTTGAGAGTGGCTTTAGGCATAGTGCATTGATATGATTAGACTTGGTTTTCTGCAGTGCAGACAACTTGAGTTCTCTTCTGTATTTGTGGGCACCATATCACTTATGGATTGCTTTTAATCTTGATGAATAAGTGGAACCCATTTCATACAAACTAACGGGAGTGGAAAGGATATCCATCAACAATTTAGCGGTGTTATTTTCTAGTACTGACAGGAGGCCTCTAGAGGTTGACACCATTGGGTTCTATCAAACTAAAAGCTCAGGTTATAGATAATGGGAAATAAATCACTACAATTGGTTACCCTACTTCGTCAAACCTCAGAAAGCTATTCATGGCACATATTAGCAAAATAAAATATTTTCTTTTGGAATTATGTTTTGGAATCTTTGAGGTAAGTGCATATTAAGACATTTACTTTTTAAAGATGAAGTGTAAATCTATCTTGTAATCTTACCTGCCGACTTGCATCCAGTGCCCCTGACTGGAGAGCCCAGGCTGAGATGGTGTTAAATGCTTTTACCACGTGAGTTCCCGGCACCAACTGAGCAAGGTACTCTGCATTTGACTCTGGATACTGATTGATTTTGAGGTTGTTGCTGACGTCGACCAATATTTTCCCATTGAGAACCTCGGTTAATTCTGTGAGAAAATCGTAATGTTCCCTGTGTACTGCTATGATTATAATGTCAGATTTCTGGGCCGCATCAGAGTAGCTCATGACCTCTGCACCATTGGGCAGCAGGCTGGACATCCGGGGGGTTCGACTTCCAAAAACAATAGAATAACCACACTGGAGCATTTTAAGTCCCAGTGATCTTCCAAAATCTCCAGTTCCAAAAATACATATAGTCTCTTGCTTTTCTGAAGAATGCATAGTGAGAGGAAACGCATCTGTAGAAATTTTCTCCATAACTGAAAGATAATCAAATACCCAAACAAAATATGAATGTTCTGGTAAAAAGGAATGAAAATTATATCAAGGAAACAGTGATTGAGTGATACTTGAATCTTCTGATGAATTATCTCAAGCACATTCCCTACAAAGTTTGGAAGGAGTAAAAACTGTCTCATATATTCTCATATGCCTTATTTAACAAAATCTTGTATTGGATAAAGAAATGCAGTGAAAACCGAAGACATTTACCAGTTGCAGTCTTAAACTGTGGCCGTGTATCACAATGATACTGCATTATTGAATACTAACAGTTCCCAAAGTTCTCAAGAGCAAAATCTGACAAAGAATGCACTAATATGGAAATTATAGACCAACATATTTATGTTTACAGATGCAAAATCCCAAATTAACCAGCAGTATCTGGTAGCCTGTTAAGAGACAGTGCACTTGGATGAGATAGGATTATTCTAAAAATGTAAAGATTAGTTCTATAAATTCCATATGAGAAGATCTATTGAATAGAATACATCATATTAGAAGATTAAAGAGAAAAATATGACCATATTTATGTATGCTAAGTGGACCTACATTAAAACTTGACAGTTTTTCTTTATTTTTATTTAAAAAGTACAAATAGATATTTCCTTAACATACAAAGTATCTTTCTCAACCTGAAATCTAGTTTCATACTTTAAAGAGAATTACTAGAAATATTCCTAATAAAGTCATAAACCAGATAAATATATATATATCCTACATTATTGTTTGGATTCTAGCTAACACAATTATACTGGAGAAAGAAATTAGAGGTACAGAAATTCAAAAGGATTTGTAGACAATCAACTGTAATCTTGGAAAACTCAAAAGTCAATTGAAAAAGTGCTATACACATAAAAGCCATTCAATATCTTGTCTGGGCATTCAATTAATATCAATACTTTTCTCATATGAGAAAAATAAACCAGTTTGAAGATTTAATAGAAGAAAAGGCCCTATTTTTGGCTGCAACAAAATAGAGACAGTATTTAAGAATGAATTTAAGATACAGGGTATATATCAGGAAGATCCCCTGGAGAATGAAATGGCAACCCACTCCAATGTTCTTGTCTGGGAAATCCCATGGACAGAGGAGCCTGGTGGGCTAGAATCCATGGGGTCAGAAAGAGTCAGACATGACTTGGCAACTGAGCATGCACACGCACAAGATATGTACCAGATCCAAATGAAGAAAAATTTAAAATTCCCCTAAGACTCAGAAGATTTATGTAAATGGAAATGTACAGCATGTCTCTGGGTGGGTAGCCTCAGCTTCACAAAAATGTCAGTTTTCTCTGGTTTAATCTATACATTCTGAAAAGGGGGCTAGTTCTATTCTAATAAATAGAGGACCAGTTCTATTAAATATTTAAATATTTTAAATCTAAAATATCATGCTGCTGTCACAGGAATAACAAATGCTCAGTGGAATAGAGTAAAAAAGAAAATCAGAAATGAACCAAATTTATATGATAATGATGAGCATCTCAAGTTGATGTAGAAAAGATGGCTTATTCAGTAGCTAATATTATGACAACTAAATAACCAATTGGAAGAGAAAGTTTAATCTACACTCACACTCTTCCCCAAGGTAAATTTAAAATATATTAAGGCTTGAAATGTATTTTTTTTTTAAAGAAATGGACCTATAATAGAACTGTAAGAGGCCATGGAGAATTATTTTATAACCTTAGAAGGGAAAGGTTATAAACTTTATGACTTCAGTATAGTAAAAGATTTCTTGAGGGAGGGAGCTAAGATGGCGGAGGAATAGGACGGGTAGACCACTTTCTCCTCCACAAATTCATCAAAAGAACATTTGAACGCAGAGCAAACTACACAAAACAACTTCTGATCACTAGCGAGGACATCAGGCACCCAGAAAAGCAGCCCATTGTCTTCGAAAGGAGGTAGGACAAAATATAAAAGATAAAAAGAGAGACAAAAGAGCTAGGGACAGAGACCCATCCCGGGAAGGGAGACTTACTAGAAGAAGTTTCCAAATAACAGGAAAACTTCTCACTGGCGGGTCTGGGGGAAGATTTCGAATCTCGGAGGGCAACCTAACCGGAAGGAAAAATAAATAAAACCCACAGATTACATGCCTAAAAGCAACTCCCAGCAGAAAAGTACCCCAGACGCCCGCANATGAGAGAAGGTGAGAATAGCATTGAAACATGTATTTTATCAAGTGTGAAACAGATCGCTGGTCCAGGTTGGATGCATGAGACAAGTGCTCAGGGCTGGTGCACTGGGATGACCCAGAGGGATGGGATGGGGAGGAAGGTGGGAGGGGGGATCGGGATGGGGAACACATGTAAATCCATGGCTGATTCATGTCAATGTATGGCAAAACCAGTACAATTTGTAAAGTAATTAGCCTCCAACTAATAAAAATGAAGGAAAAAAAATTTCTTAATCTTACCCAATGTAAAAGAAATGCAGGGCAAAACTAAACTGATATAAAGTTATAAACCATCCGACTGTGTTGCTTTTTAAGATTTTGAAATTTACATTAATAAATCAAATAAAAGTTCTTGAAGTTTTTATGATCTAATAAAATCATCTAGGATACTCTCTCCATTTTCAAAGAATATTATTTCTTATTTTGATACTGAATTTTCTCAAAAAATTTCTCTTCCCAATATTTAGTGTATAGTGTAAGGTTTTAGTTAATCTCTTTTTGGGGGGTGGTGGGTGGTAGTCTCTTGTGTTCAATGAAGTCTCCTCAGTGCTAAAAAGAGCACTGACTGTGATGAACCAGGCACTTGTTGATAAATATTTGTGGGATGATAGTGGAGCAGTGGATCGTTGGAGTTCTAAGCTGCAGTTATTCTCTGTGTCAGGCACAGTGAGAGGTGCATGATGAAGAGGAAGCTGAATGAGAATAGACTGAACACTGGGAGGAAGGGAGGAGTAAAGAGAGAGAGAGGTTGGTGGGGGAGAGGTATTAAGGACATTACTTCTTTCACCCAAGTGCATTTCAAGTAAAACTCCATGAATTTGATGTGGAATTTCAAACCAGACCTAATCACTATTCACTTCTGACATAATGAATTTCATGCAGATTGCAGAGTATATGAAGCTTTCACCTTTTTAATAGAAGTTCAGAAATTTGCCCTTTTCATTTTAGTCTATGGAAAATACCTGAATTTTTTTGTTTTTGTTTGTCTTTATCCAAGCATAGTTAATTCACAATGTTGTGTTAGTTTCAGGGTATAGCAAATATATGTGTGTGTGTGTATTCTTTTTCATATTCTTTTCCATTATAGTTTTTTACAAGATGTTGAATATAGTTCCCTGTGCTATACAATCAGCCCTTGTTCGTCTATTTTATATATATATATATGTATATATATATATTATTGTTTATATGTTAATCCCAAACTCCTAATTTATCTCCCCTACCTACTACCCTTCTGCTTTGATAACCATCCATTTTTGTTTTCTACACCTGTGAGTCTATTTCTTTTTTGTAAATAAGTTTATTAGTATCATTTTTAAAAGATTCCACATGTAAGTGATACCATATGATGTTTGTCTTTGTCCAAATTACTTCGGGGTCTTCCCAGGTGGTGCTAGTGGCAAAGAACTTGCCTGACAATGCAAGAGACATAAGAGATGTGAGTTTGATCTCTGGTCAGGATGATCCCTTGGAGGAGGGCATGGCAGCCCACTTCAGTATTCTTGCTTAGAGAATCCCATGGTCAGGGGAGCCTGGCCAGCTATGGTCCATAGGGTGGAAAAGAGTTGGACCCCTCTGAAGCAACTTAGCACGCAGGTCTATCTGTGTTTCATTATTTCATTCTTTTTTTTTCATTGTTTCTTTATTTCAGTGCATCCAAATTAAATTTTGTCATTCTTTTTTATGACTGGCTAATAATTCCAGTGTTTATGTATACAATGTCTTCTTTATCGATTCATCTCTTGATGGATGTTTAGGTTTTTTCCTTGTATTATCTATTGTAAATAGTGCTTCTACGGGAACGCATGTATCTTTTCAAATTAGAAAAAAGGAATTCTTACATGAGCTTATCTGAAGATGTGTGTTAATATCTATAACACAGGCAGATCATTCAGACTTTTATAAGTAGTCAGAAGTTATAGAGAAAAGGGAAAAGACATACAAGACTTTTCTAAACTTCCACAGAAACTCTTTGAAAATTGATTTAACCACAACAACCGAATCATTTTATAAATTAGCCGATGACTGATATCCTGAACTGTATCAGAGAAGGGTGTGACTTTATACGGGAAAGCACCTGGAGATGATCAGAGTCTATCATATGGAAACACAGCTATGCCTTTGAAAAACTCTTAGCAGCATCTTCAAATGCAAACTAGTGTAGCAATTTACATTATATTTCTAATCAGTGTTAACAATTAGTTGTTATAACTCAAACCCTCAAACTGCTGAATGATGCCTTAATTTTTTACTTTGTGAAACTGGTTTGTAAGTAAATTGAAAGAATGCCAGTGTGCCTGTCTGTTCTATCACTTTTTTTTCATTATTTGTCCTAGTATATTATTTTTCTCTCTTCTATATTGGAATGGACATTTGCAAGCAAAATACAGATTTGACAAAGTTGCTGGTGTCCTGCAGTGAGAAAGATGATGTCTTTATTGACATATTCTCATTTGGATCATCTTAATTATTGGAGAGAGAGTCCAGACTTTGTTTTGATCATTGTGGCCCCCGCATGCATCTATTCTAAACTTTCATAAACTTAAAAAACACTGAAATATTAATTATACTTCACTAGTATTTTGTTCTTTACTTACTAGTGTGTGACCTTGGGCAAATTACTCAAGCTCTTTGTGTTTCAGTTAGGTTATCTTTGAAATGAGAGCTCTATGGTACCTACTTTAGAGACATTGTGAGGGCCAGATGAATTAATGTATCCTAGAACAATTCTTGAGACATGATAAGTACTCAATAAGCTGGCCATTCTTAAGAGAATATTTAATATGCTATAATTTA